ACACTGCTAAATTAGGGACGGCTAGCGCAGATAGCCCTCGTGTAGCTTTGCGCGAAATTCAAAAACAAACAAACATCTATCTGGTTTGTAGTTGTAAATTAAGGATGGCAGTGCCTGAATCTTAAGGGCCTCTTACCTGGCCATTAGCCCATATGTCGCATAAGGTGCCGTTCAGGTTGAAATATTAATACTAGACAAATAGTTTTCCAACTGCTAAAATTAGTTTTAAAACCTATTATCAAAAACAGTTAGTTTTCTACAAGTATTATTACTATTTATATTAGGTAATTAGTCAATAACTATTCCCATTTTCGCATTATTGCTGGGCTATTTATAATCTCCCCTTGGTTCTATTAAATCGTCTGGAAGGCTTACACAAATTTATGTAGATGTATAAACTGATATGTGAATTTGTACCTTCAAAAAATAAACATGTAATTTACTAAAATAAACTTTACATTTTCAAACTGTCATGCATTGACTCACGGGAGATTAAAGATAGATCTGAAATGCTTGTTGTTTTTTTTTCTGATTTTGAATTCGAAATGGATAAATTAAGAAGAATGTGGAAAAAATAAATAAACATTTCACGTGATTTTTATTCTAACGAAAACCATGGATAAAATCAACATTGGTTATTTGTCCAATTAATAGCTATAAGATCTCTTTAAAACAGAAAATAATTCGTGTCTCTTGACACATGGTTACGTGACTATGAAATTATTATTTCATTAATACCTTTCTAGCCATGTGGATAATATTATGTTTTAACTCTGAGGTTCAACACGACTTATAATAAAACCTATGAGAAGATAGCAGATGTGTTTGGGATGATAGAGGTACAAATAGCACATGTGTTTGGGATGATAGAGGTAAAAATAGCACATGTGTTTGTGATGAGAGAGCTAAAAATAGCATATGAGTCCGTGATGAGAGAGATAAAAATAGCATATGAGTCCGTGATGAGAGAGATAAAAATAGCACATGTGTTAGTGATGAGAGAGATAAAAATAGCACATGTGTTAGTGAGGAAAGAGCTAAAAATAGCACATGAGTCCGTGATGAGAGAGATAAAAATAGCACATGTGTTTGTGATGATAGAGGTATAAATAGCACATGTGTTTGTGACGAGAGAGGTAAAAATAGCATATGAGTCCGTGAAGAGAGAAGTAAGATACCATATGAGTCCGCAATGAGAGAGGTAAAAATAGCACCTGAGTCAGGGATGAGATAGGTAAAAATACCACATGTGTTAGTGACGAGAGAGGTAAAAATAGCACATGTGTTAGTGACGAGAGAGGTAAAAATAGCACATGTGTTAGTGAGGAAAGAGCTAAAAATAGCATATGAGTCCGTGATGAAATTGGTAAAAATAGAATATGTATTAGTGATTATAGAGGTAAAAATAGCACATGTGTTAGTGACGAGAGAGATAAAAATAGCACATGTGTTAGTGATGATAGAGGTAAAAATACCACATGTGTCCGGATTAGAGAGATAAGAATAGCACATGTGTCCGTGAAGAGAGAAGTAAAGATAGCACATGTGTTAGTGATGATAGAGGTAAAAATAGCACCTGAGCCCGGGATGAGATAGGTAAAAACAGCACATGTGTTAGTGATGAGAGACGTATTTGGCAACAAAAATGAAAACCATAGCAACATTTGGGACGACACGATAATTATTATCATATTTTATTATTTATAAAACTTTGCTTTCAATGATGCGACATGTTTTTGAATATTCTTGCTAAAAATGTTATGCAAAGTTTGTTTGTAATTATGCACAAAGCTACACAATGGGCTGTCTGTGCTCTGCCCACCACGGGTATCGAAAGCCGGTTTCTAGCGTTGTAACTCCGCAGACATACCGCTGTGCCACGAGGGGGGGGGGCGTTACGGAAAGATATTGAGTAAATAATAAGAAATATAGTTTATTTTCAGATAAGTTGGGAGACTAAAGTTCACTCAATCAACCAACTGATCACATTTGTTGGACGCAATTATCAATCAATTAAAACAAAAATTAAAAACAATGAAATATCCTCAATTGTTCCTTAGCTCTGAAACCAGTTAACCATGACTGTTAAAAGAGTTGTAGTGAAAAAAAAAGGTTAAAAGAGTAACTGTTAAACAAAATTATTTTATTTGTATGATTTTTAGAAATATATTTTTTAAAACGTATTAATGACCTAAAACATTGCTACAACATTCAATCTGAAAAAAGGCTGTTGATAAAATTACTTTTTTTTTTTTTCAGTTTGCTGTCCAACGATACATGAAAAACACTAAGTATGGTATTCAACATCTACAAAAATAACATTTAATCTGTCTTCCTTCATAAGTCTTTCTCTTTATCTACGTTTTTCTTGAACAGTAAAAGGTATAAGTATATACTTTTGGGGAGAACTGGTTGTAATTCCGTTGTTTCGCACACCTATGAAATCATCAGACATTTTAAAGAAACTTAGGTTGTTAAGAAAGGTGTAATCGGGTTTCTTATCTCGTGGGCTTTTCGTCTTTGTAACCTTGAGTTCTTGGATGGTGAAGTAGGACATATTTCACAATGCTTCCATCAGAATACTTATCCATATCATTCCTCAACAAACAAGTCAAAACCACAAGGGACTCCAAACACAACTTTAACATTAACGGACCATCAACTGTCATGTCACTGTATCTTCCAGAACTTACTCCTAAACGTTAACCCTAAACAACGACAAAAAGAGACTAAGATCCAAAAACTTCTGAGAAAGGTAAAACAGTATATATATAAACAACATTACAGTTGTGTAAAGTTTACAGTGAAAATACAAATATAGATAATAATAATACAACAATGAAACCAGGAGATCACTTCAGGTTCGTATCGAGGAACAAATAAAACCATCTGATTTTATTGGCAAAAAACAAGCTCTGATGGTAGTCAATATATATTAACTTGTAAATGATAATAACAATAATATTATAAGATAAAAAATGTTTAATAAAGAGCGTGGCCCAATGACTGACTTGTTGGACTCTGGATCTGCAACTTCAAGGTTCGCGTCTCGTTCTTGCAAAAACAA